ATATAAATAATTATGAAAGTTTATTAATACTCTCGTAGAATGAATATGAAAAAAAAATATATATAATTTTAATTGAAAAAAATTGTGTATTAATGTAAGATCGATTAAAATTTGATTTAAAGGATATTGTATTAAATGGTAATTGTTGTTGTTAAATTGTTAAGAAGACCACGCGAGTTTAAGTCACGTGTCTTTCCCCCTTGAGGTAACAAAATCGATTAGTTTGAAACGTGCTTCACACATAATCTTTTTATTCGTTGTCTAGTCTTGTCTAGCATTTATTTATTTTTTTTTGTTTCTTTATTTATTTATTTATAAAGGAATTTTCCATAGGTTTTTGATAATATTTTAGAATTTTTATACAATATAATATTATAGATGAATATAAATAAAAAGAAAATTTAATTGTGAAAAATATTTTTATATTTTTTTTATTCGCAAAATTTAATTTCGTTATAGAAACTGATTGTTGTTTTGTTATTGTTGGTTTATGAAAGTACTCGGAATATTATTCGACATCATATCCTCCCTCTGCCTTCGTTATTTTTTTTTATCGATCACTATGACGAAAAGAGTGTGTTATATAAGGCACGACAATTCTGGCATTCTAGGTTTCGTTTCTGTTTTCTTAAAATAGAGAGAGGAGTATGTCCTTTCTATTTCGATTGCCCTCTAATACGCAACCATTTATCAATTATTTATATATGTTTGGATATATCTATATATATGTGTGTGTGTGTGTGTGTATCTGTGAGGAGGGAGGATGATTTGAAAATAAATATGTTGTTTGATTTATTATAAAATAATAAATTAATTTCGAGAGATTATGTCATTAAATATATCATTTCAATTTTTTTTTATTTTATTTTATTTCAAAAGAATTTTCGTATATAGAAAAATTCTAAATATAATTTATTATAACGATTGAGATTTAATATTTATTTCAAAAATTTATTGTTCGATTATGTTATCATTAAATAATTTCAATTTATTTTTATTTTATTTCCAAAGAATTTTGTATATAGAAAAATTCTAAATATAATTTATTATAACGATTGAAATTCAACATTTAATCTTAAAAATTTATTGTTCGATTATGTCATCATTAAAAAATTTCAATTTATTTTTATTTTATTTCCAAAGAATTTTCGTATATAGACAAATTCTAAATTTATTTATTATAACGATTGAGATTCAACATTTATTTCAAATTGAGATTGTTCACATTATCAATCATATTAATCAAATATTTCAAAAACAAATTCAATAGAATTAAAATTTGATATTTCGTAAAAAATGAATGGAAAATTTTTCTATTCAAGTGAAATTGTTCTTAATAATAATTATTATTTTGTTTTATTTTCGTAAATAGAGAGAGAGAGAGAGAGATTCCATTAGGTGATCATCTTCCTTCCTTCCTTCGTTCCTCTTACCCCCCATCCCCCGTTCGTCAGTATTTTCTCTCACAGAATTTCTTGCAAGCTCGTCGTTTACAACGGAATATTTCCAGAAGTATTTATAGAAAACTTGACTACATTATTCGTCGAGTTTTAGATGCCTCTTTTCGAGACTAAAGAAGGACGACTAATACGATGCAAAAAAAAGGGATCGGACATTTATTTTATTTCCATTTTCTAATCATTACTACGAATTTTTTAATTACTATTGTATAGAATAATTATCTTAATAGATAATTTGATAGGATTGATAATTTAGGAATTACTCCTCTTTGTTTCTTTTTTTTCTTTCTTCGAAAAACAATTACGAAATATTCTTTTTTCGATTAGAAGGGCACCTATCCCACCCTGTTTTCGGTGATGTCAAATTAATTGAAAAAAAAAAAAGAAAAAGAAAAGTATCCTGCGATATTAAAATGTTTTCTTTATTAAAAATCATTTCTACATTTCCATTAACATTTTACAAAATTTCATTAAAAATTCCATAACGCTCTGAACGAAAGTATGATGGAAAAATGAAGAAGAAGAAAATAAATAAAAAAAGAAAAAAGTATTATTGGAAAACGATTTGTAATCGTTCGAAAGATATCAGATTTAGTTAATGATGAATTTTAAGTTCTCAGATCAATCTTAAAAAAAATTTGATAGGATACTTAAGATATCTATCTATCTATCTATCAGTTTCTCGAATAATAAGAAAAAGAAGAAGAATAATAAGTGGAAGTGGTGATGATGGTGATGGTATTGAATAAACGTGTGGGCGAGTACGAGAAAGGCGGCCGTGGCAAAGACTATGAAAAGCATTAAACGTGAACGTGAAATCTTATTTCTGTGTGATGTGCATGCTAAAGGGGAAAATCTCGTGGAATGATGCACGCGACCCACATTCGCTAATCTTAAAAACGCATAGCCAAGCAAGAACCTCCTCAAATCGTTGTAACCCGTTGTGCGATCATTCGAGTGGAAAATAGAAAAGAAAGAAGAAGAAAAAAAAAACAAAAGGAAGAAAAAATTCCGTAGTGGATATATTTTTGGAGGATGGCATTGTAGAAGGGGTGGGTGGGAGGGGTGTAAGAAGAACTTAAATCGATCTTTGCCTATTCAGAATTTTGTTTTGTTTTGTTTTTTTTTTTTTCATTACTCGACCAAACATTTTTAATCATTTTTATGAACGTGGATATATATTTTTGAAGGATGGCATTGTAGAAGGGTGGGGGGGAGGGATGTAAGAAGAACAAAAATCGATCTTTACCTATTCAGAATTTTGTTTTGTTTTTTCAGTACTCGACCAAACGTTTTTAATCATTTTTATGAACGTAATGATACATTTATTTACTTGTTTGTGGTTAGTAAGTCGTATGATAAAATTCGTTGACCGAGAAAAATTAAAAAAAAGAAAGGGGAATTGAAGAGAGATATGATAATTTGATTAAAGTTGAAATTGAATATATGTATGTATACATAACTTTTGTAATTTCAAACCACTAACAGGACAGATTTATTTTGAAAAGTTTCATTTTTAAAATATACAGAAATAGAATCACGCGTCACGATTCACTCATGAATTTCTTTTGGTTGGTAGTGGTGGTAGTGTTGGTGGTGGTGGTTATGGGTGGTTGTGTTACTGCAGTAATAGCAGGAACGTAAATATGTATAAATTTTCAATGTTTAAAACTGACATCGACCAAATGTGAATGCTGTTCTTGAAATAGTTCACATTGAGAAATAAACTACGCGGTATTTCTAGTAAATTTATTGTTAGAATATTCATTGATCGCGAATTGAAAAATTCATTCGTCGTTAGTTATTAAATAGGATCATCATTTTAAATATTTTTTTTTTTTATTCTTGTAATAAAATATTTTCTCATACTTTTTTTTTGTTTTCAACCATCTCCTATTTTTCTTAAAGTTACATTTAGAAATTTTAGAATGAAATCGATATAAACCTTTCTTCCACGAAAAAGAAAATAAAAAATAAGAAGAATATATATATATATATATATATATAATACGTCACGAAATTTGTTACGCAACTCTGTTACAGAAACCCAACCAAACGAGAACGTTTAAAGAATTCTTTTAGGTGAACGCGTATTTATTTCAAGAAAAAATGGGAATATCATTTTTTTAACGTGTAAAAATAAACAAATGCTTGCGTTAACAACAATTTTTCTTTTCTTTTCATTTTTTTCTTTATGATTGTAATATAAATCGTACGAAAAGAAAAATTGTCTGACAATATATCTGATATTGCAAAATGACAAACGCATAATGTATTTCAATGAATTTAATTATAACGAACCAAATTGTTTTTATATATATATTATTTGAACAAAAATTTAATTCGATCGAATTCGATAAGAAAAATTCAGATAATTATTTAAATTGAAATTCTACTGAGATTATGGGGGAAATTTACGAGAACATAGAAAAAATGATGATATATTAAAATAAATAATACGAGCAATCGTGTAAGCGAAATTTAATATTATAT